AAAAAAACAAACATATAGTATTTACTGATTCAGTGAAGCATGTTTTTAATGGGTTATGATGGCAAATTCCAACCTAATAGATGTACATTGGTTATAAATTTTAAGAAATCTGTTATTTTAATCCACAAGTTTACATAATCCTATGAGATTCTTAAAAATCTTAAGTTTTAAAAAAAGTTATTGAAAAGCCTTTTTTTTTCCCAAAAAGTAAGTCAGCCAGCCATAAGTAAAAAAAAAAAAAAAAAGGGGTTGGCATGTGAGATACTTCACATGGAACAGAATGCAAGTTTTAAAATTTGGGAGACAATTACATAAAACATACATTCATGACAGACCAGATGTTTAAAAAGTAAAGAAACACTCTAGTCCAATTCCCAAAACTATTAGCGAAACTTGAATTTTTAACTAAAGATCTTGGTTCCATAGTGTTATATAGAGGAGTAGACATCCTGTACCAATCTGCGCATTTTCTCTGACATTTTGGCTTTCTTAGAAAATACTCCTGAGTGTCAAAACCTCATTTGGTTTCAAGTTGTTAATGAGATTGCAAACCAATGCAGCCATACAGCAAGTGTAATAAAGGCTGGGCATTTTAGTCTTTGCATTTTTATCTAATTTTGCAGAGAACCAGTTTTGTTTGTTATTTATTATCAATGTCTGTTTGTAATAACTGGTATGTACTCCTCAAGTAAGAGTACTGAAAATGAATACTATAAAGCTGTTGGATAATAGGCTTTGTAGTAGAAGAATATACAAAAGAAACAAACAGAACTTTATTAAAGAATAGAGATCTCAATTTTCTATTTCCTCAAAATTCTTGCTATCAAATACCTGTTACTTTTATGCCACATGAAAGTTGGGAATCTTGGATAGACAGAAACTTCAACGTTTTACATGAGCTAATGTCAATGTGATTATCCTACACAACATATGAAAAGATGGAGCAGTGTGTGTGATACCTTACACCTCTCCCCTGCTACAGTAGATGTCTCTTAAGTAAGAAGAAAACACTTGATTTAGTGAAGAGAACAGAGAAAAAAGCAAACAGCTAGAATATATCTGCTTTCGAACATTTGACGTATTATTCACAGTAGCAATAATCATTCATTAATTTTTGGGCTATTTATGACTACTCTTGCTGCAACAGGTGGAAATATAGCCTAAATTTGACACTACAGTGTAAATTTCCATTTCTTTCCCATCCGTAACATATGCTCTTGAAGCCAGGAACTCTCACACACTCAAAAATTTATGCTAATGTAGCAGTCAGTTCTTAATTTTATTACTGATCTTAATGAAAATGGGATCAAGACTACATTTTTGTGAATTAAATAAAGAGCCTTGGGCCTTTCTGTCCTTGGGCTAGGATAGAATGGTGCCATCTGACTATGTCTGAGGAGCTTGTTAAGGTGACAAAAATTACACCACCAAAACTTTTCTCAAGCAGGTGAGTCCTATGAACTTAGATCCTTTATCATTTCCCAGAATTTCAGGGTTGGTGTATTTGAGAGGACTTTTCCTAAACCACAGAGGATTTAGAAACAGTGTGAGGAGGTCTTGAGAAGGTGTAGGTGTTATCTTACACTCTGCATTTCTAATGAGCAGTAGGATGTGTTTTACAGCACAGCCTGACCATGGCAAAAGGAATAAAGGTCTTCTTTCCTGCTACCTCCTCCACATGAGATTGCATTTGTTTGCAGCTACCTCTGTAACATATAAGCTTCTTGAATTCACTGTTGTCACCCAGCTAGCCCTCCTCCCCATTCCTACCGCATATCCCATTCTTTTTCCTAAGGTCCTCATGTGATCAGTCATCCCTTTTGCAGATACTATCTATCCTCCACTCCCAGAGATGTAGCTTGATTTAGCAGGGACAGATTCAACCTCTCTGAATGTAGACATTTCAAAACAAATATTTTGGCTGTTAGGACCACAGCCTAATGTCCTAGACAAAAAAAAAAGAAGCATTGTATACTTCCTTCCCTACTACCTAAGATGTTTGTGTGGAAAATAATGTGCAAGGTATACCTATCATATTCTTTCTGTATCAGTGATTCTATGGCTTCTCCTCCAAGTGGTAACACTTTTTTTATAGCACTCGGCAGGATGTTGAGAGCTGTGCTTTTAGCTTTGCCTCTTTCTATTCTAATGAATTTTCAGTGATTTTGAAATACGTTATTTATATAATTATTATATAGAGAGCATGTATACATGCACAAACATTTATGTGTGAATGTAGCTTCAGACTGAATGTTTTTGATTAAAGTTCATATATGTGTATATATATTTACAAAACATGAAAGGGAGAAAAGGGCTTCATATATCCCCTTTTCATACTTTTATTTTGATTACATAGGGTTTTTCTTGGTTTCTCTCTGTAAAAAGAACTGGAACTAAAACTTTGAATTCTAGGCAGTCCAAGTAGTATTTAATCCAGTGGTGAAGGTAAAATTATCCAAATCCTTCTCATCAAATAAGAATTTTTAATATGCCTCTGTCCACCTTATGCATAGTACAATGGTTTTGCCCATAAAATAGACACAAAGTAGCTAAAAACTCACAGTATTATTTCTTTCTCATAATTTTTCTTGTTGATACTCTGTTTTTAATTGCAGCATAGTAGAGGGGAGTTTACTAAGAAAAGAAAATGGCTTGTCTTTAAAATGTAAGAATTTATTCGTGTGCTATTGTTGCCTGCCAACAATGAGCTAAAGAGGTTAATGGATCATAGGTCTGGCAAACAGCCACGCTGCCTCCGGCTCCATATATTTAACTGCATAATCTAGGTTAAGATTTGGTGCTATTTTTTAAATCAGGGCATGAACCGTTGATAAATAAAAATTAGGTTTTATCCAGTCTTTTTATTTTATTTTAATTTATTTATTTATTTACTTTGCCCCCGAAAACAGAGCCACTTTTCACTGATCCCGAAGGGCATGGCAGGAGCGAGGGGAAGCAGGCGGGGGCCTCCCGCGCTCCCAGCCGCCCTGTGCTCCCCCGTCAGCAGCCACCGGGCACTCCCTGGCATCCCTCCGGCAGGACAGCAGCGCCTCTCCCCCCTCTCCCCGGTCTGCCAAACTCGAGGGTCCAAAATCCCAGGGGAGCATTTTCATGGGTCCTCTACACACACCCCTTTCCTCAGGAAACTTCTTTTGGAGCTCCGAAACCACTACCTGCAGCCATCTCTCCATCAAAGGAGTGGGGTGTACGGGGTGTGATTGATTGGGTATTGGTTTTTTGGTGGGGTTTTTTTTTGTTTGTTTTTGGGTTTGTTTTTGTTTTTTTGTTTGTTTGTTTATTTGTTTGTTTTTTTTTTTTTTTAAGAAAGAGACATCACAGAAAAAGTATATAGCTCCCCCTGTTCTTTGGGCACACTGTTGGAAGAGCCAGGCAGCAGAGGCAGCGTTATAATGCAAATCACTAAGCGAGCAACTTTCAATGCTGTTGTGGCTATTTTTGATTTCTCTCCCGAGAACGGGCTTTTTTTAGTGTGCGTGTTGCTTTTTTCCCCCTCTTTCCATTTGATTCCTATAATCCTGCCACCCCTCCCTTCGCCGCTTGCTCTCCCCTCCTCCCCCAAAACATCCCGCAGTTATGATGCACCGTCCTCGGTCCTCTCCAGCGGGTCACTCCGCTCGGGCAGCAGGTGAGCAGCTGAGCGAGGGAGCGGCGTTTGCAGGGATGCGCTGGGGCACCGCGCCGCTGCCCGGCAGAGGCGGGCCCTCTGCAGCCGCTGCTGCTTCATTCCTCCGCCGTCGCTGCTGGGCCCCGCCGGCAGCTCTTGGGGGCAGCCGAAATCCCCTCCTCGCCCCTCGCTTCTCCCCCTCCAGCCGCGTCCCGGCGGCGGCAGCCTCCCAGCGCCAGCCCGGTGCCTGCGGGAGCCCGGGAGCTTCCTGCGGAGGAGCCAGCGCCGGCGGAGGGCCCTGCCCGGCTCTTCCCTCGGCCGCAGGGCGAGCCCACAGCACCTGGCCGCGTTGCCCGCCTTAGCGGAGTGGGAGAGAGAGAGGGAGGGAAGGAGAGGAAAAAGGGAGGGAAAGAGGGAGGGAGGGAAAGAGGGAGGCTCCTTCGTGAGCGGGGAGCGGCTCCGGCTCTCAGCTGGGCGCTACCGGCAGCGGCAGCTTCTGCCGTGCTGCGCCGCGGGCGGTGACGGCTCCCGGCGCGGCGGGAGCGCGCTGCTGCCGCGGGACCGCAGCTCTGGGGCGGGGGGCTCAAACCTGGGCTGGGAAGTAGACAGAGTTTTGCGGTTTTTTCTTTCTTTTTTTTTTTTTTTTCTTTTTCTTTATATTTTTTGACAGAGTTTTGCGGTTTTTTCTTTTTTTTTTTTTTTTTCTTTTTCTTTATATTTTTTCTCCTAGTGATTGGGCTATTTCTATTACCCTTTTTTTAAATCCCTCCCCCCGCTCCCCCCATTCACCCGGCGGTGCGTGTGGCAGCGGGGAGGATGCGCGCCTCCCCCGAGCCGTTCCCCGGCAGCTCCCGCCGCGGCTGCGGGGCGCCGGGGGCCGCGGGGCCGGGGCCGCGCTGGGCCGCACCTGGTGGCACCGCCATGCCCGGGCTGCGCCCCCTGATCTCCCCCGCAGCTTTCCGCCGCCCTTCCGAGCCTGAGTCCCCCTTCGCTTGTGTCCAGCATCGCGCACACACGCACACGCCGTCACGCACGGAGGCACTCACTCACTGACTCTGCCGAGCTGCCCAGGCTGCCGAACAGCACAGCGCAGCGCCGCGCAGCCCGCCTGGAGCCCCCTCCCTCCTTCCTCCCTCCCTCCTTCAATCCCTCCCTCCCTCTCTCCACCTCCTCCCTCGCTCCCGCCCGCCCGCCGCTGTGAAGGATGCCCGGTAAGTAGCGACGAGGACCGGCACCTCTGCCGGTGCGTGATGTGAGGGGTTAGGGACTGCTTATACTGCTGCCGCCCGCCGGGGGGGCGCAGGGCGGGGGGGCGAGGCGAGGGGAGGTGACAGCGATCCGAGGCAGGAGGCGGCGGGGCTCGCCGTGTGCTCCTCAGAAGGACTTTTAGCTGCGCGACCGGGGCTTGGATGTGGGCGCCGAGGGACGGGGTCTGTGCACCGCAGCGGGCACCGGCCGGGGCGGGGGCGCTTCGCCTGCGCTGCGGGTTGCTGCCCGCAGCACCGCGGTGAGTACGGGGCTCCGCGCCTCGCCGGGGCTCCCCGGGGGCGGGTAAGGTGTGGAGGGTGCCCTGCCGGGCACGGAGGGCGCGGTGCCCCGGGTGTACTGCCCGCTGCTACTCCTGGGTTTTGGCCACGTCTGTAGGGACTGCCAGCGCGGTCCGGTGTTTGGGGCGCCGCGGTGCCACCGATCGGACACGGGGACGGGGCTCTCCGGGCGCCTCACCTGCGGAGAGGAGCACCCAGGAGCTGCGCGCTGGGAGAGCAGAGCGGAGCCCCGGCCGGTGCCCCGGCACCGCAGCGAGAGGGTGCCCGCGGCTCCCCTGCCCGCTCCCGTCCTGCGTGCTCCGTCCTCCTGCGCTGCAGAGGGCTCCGGTGCGAAAACGCTTGTCCCTTAGGGAAGCGTAATGTTTGTAAAATGTTTGCTGTCAATTAGCGGGTGGCTCCGCTCAGCTCGGGTTTGCGCACGGCTAACTTCGCTCAGGCAGGGGTTCAGCTCCGGCTACCAAATGCTAGGAACACGGTGCAAGGCGCTTTTTGTTCTCCTAGACTGCCTGGTGCGACTTGTGGGAAGCACGTATGAAAGCACACAATTGCTGACGATTTTTAAGTGGACTTTGGTAAATCATTGAAATTGTTTTTCTTACTTCTACTGTGTGTACTTTGGTAATGATCTCTTCTCACTACGTTTTTCATCCTGGGTATGATAACTCTGACATTGAAGTCAATGGCAAAACTCCCAATTGACTTGAGAGGAAGGCAGTTATGGTCAGTATGGAATGAAAGGGACTGGGCAGAAGATGGAGTGATGGCAAAGCGACAGAGATGTATAAAAGAAACTTCCTCTTAGAGGCTAGCTCTCTAACCAAATAGTTTCAGCAGTGTCAGAATTGTCTTCTAGATTTTCATTGCCATTTTGCACTGAAGAATACTGGAATGATTTCTTGATGTATTGGAAATCAAGAGGGCTGAATCCCATTTTTTTACCCATAGACATTATAACATGTTTCTTAGTAACTGATGCTTTTTCCAGTATATCTTTTTTCTCCCTAAAAAGTTGGAAGCAGTTGGAGACAATTAGATGGGCTCTCATTGACTTCAGTGGCCTGTGGATTGGGCCCAGAAAGACTCAATAGAGAAGTAACAAGAGAACTGTAGTACAGTTTGTAAGGAAAGGTGTTGCATAAGCATTTAACTCATGAACACCCTCCCTCTAGAGAGGAGAAAAATCTAAATGTACATGAATTTTTTATCCCATTTTATCCAACTCTTTCACAGCACAGATACAAATAAGAAAGAATGCTTCTGATTAATAATTAAAATGCCCATATTCATATGGATTACAAAGAAGATTTTATGCAAAAAAAATTCCATTAGCAAATGAAAGTTCTAGTTCACAGAACGTCCTCTGTTCAGTGCAGTATTTAGATTGGGAGCAGTCAGATATATAATGAAGCATCAAATACAAATATTGATATTCAAATGGCAAAAGCTAGACTTATTCCTGTAACCTGACTAACCACTCTCCACTGCTTGGAATGTCTTAAAAAGGAAAGTGTGATTTTTAATTTTTTTTTTTCCAAATCTGAGTGTTGAAAGAACCCCCAAGCACCCCTACATGGTGAATTTGGTAAAAAAACTTATCAAGTATCAGAAATATGCCTGTGCTCATGAGCAATGTGACTATTACATTGATAGGTGTGCTGGGGTAGCACTGGCTGGATGCCAGGAACTCACCAAAACCGTGTTATCACTGTCCTCTTCAGCCAAACAGGGAAGACAAAATGTAACAAAAAGCTCATGGGTTGAGATAAGGACAGGGAATCACTCAGCAGTTACTCTCACATGCAAAACAGACGCATCTTGGGGAAATTTGTTTAATTTATTACCAGAGCAGGAAAACAATAAATAAAGCAAAATCTTAAACATCCACCTTTTCTCTTCCCCTCTCAACCTCCTCTTCCCCCCTCCGTTCTTCTTCTCAGGCTTGACTTGACACCCTAATTATCTACCTGCTCCTTGCCAGTGGTTCTGGGGGATAAGGAATGAGGGTTGTGGTCAGTTCATCATGTGTTGTCCTGCCTGCTCCTTGCTTCTCAAGAGGAGGACTTCTCACACTCTTCCTCTGCTTTGGTGTGGTGTTCATCCCATGGGATGCCATGAACTTTTCCAACAAGTCCTCCCATGGGCTGCAGTTCTTCATGAGCTGCTCCAGCGTGGGGCCCTTCCACAAGGTGCACTCCTTCAGGTGCAGACTTTCCAGTGTGGGTCCCCCACAGAGGGACACTACTCCAGTGTGGACTCCTCCCTCTACAGGGTCACAGGTCCTGCCAGAAGCCTGCACCAGCATGAGCTTCCCAAGGGGTCACAGCCTCCTCTGGGCAGCCATCTGTTCTGGCACAGGCTCCTCCAAGGGCTGCAGGTGGATCACTGCTCTACCATGGACCTCCATGGGCTGCAGGGGCACAGCTGCCTCACCATGGTCTGAAGCACCAGGGGCTGAAGGGGAATCTCTCTCTGGCACCTGGAACACCTCCCACTCCCTCTTCACTGACCTTGGTGTCTGCAGAATTGTTGCTTTCACATGTCCTCAGTCCTCTCTGTGAATGCAGTTTCTATTGCTCACTCCTCTCTCTGGCTGCAATTTCTGTTGCTTTTTTCTCCCTTCTTAAACCTGTTATCCCAGAGGTGCTGCCACCATGGCTGATGGTGCTCAGCCTGGCTGCCATTTCTGCTGCTCAGGGTCTTTTTCCTCATTTCTTAAACCTGTTATCCCAGAGGTGCTGCCACCATGGCTGATGGTGCTCAGCAGCAGGTCCATCTTGGAGCAGGCTGGCATCAGCTCTGTAGGACACTGGGAAGCTTCTGGCAGCTTCTCACAAAAGCAGCCCTGTAGCCTCCACCACTAACAAAATGCAATACAAGAAGAAAAAACGTTTCTCATTCATGGTCCAATAATTATGTTTCCTTTTAAGTACAACTTTGTGGTAATAGGCAAATATAAAAGCAAAGTTTGAAGTGCTGCATCTCTTGTGCAGCTTTTTTTGCAGGCATTTGGTAGAATTGTCATTGAAGTGAACTGAATGTGTCACTAATACTTAACTGTGAAAAGATTAAGATGTTCATGTTACAGAGGGAAAAAAACCCTGCAAAATGGACAAATGCTTCACTGATTATCTCTTCTCTGCTTCCAAACCCATAGACAAGACAGACACCTCATTCTTAAAATGTCATATTGCAGATTTCTTTCTAATTTTCCAGTGAAATGTTTCTTTTATCTTGTACCATATATGGAAGTGGAGGGCTCATATTTTATGGGACTTTACACGGAGTAAAGTTTTATTTGCTACATTGTTGCTTCCTCTATTCGCCACTCTATCTGCTATTTGCAAACACGTTGTAATGCCACAATCTATTTTTGTTGACAAAACTTATATTTCAAGTCAAATCTGAAAAATATGGTAATTACTTCAATGTTGAGGGGTTTGGATTTTTTTTTTTTATTGGGGGGTATGGTGGGGTGTGTTGATGGTGCTTTTTTTTAAGATCCAAAGCAATGTTCCTCTTCTTTCTGTCAGCAGTTCTAAAAATGAAGATATTATTTGAATAAATCTTTAGGTTTGTCTGAGAGCCACTGTTTGGAATTCTATGGGTTCTTTTCATTTTCATGTTGTAGTACTTCTTTTTCAATGATGTATATGGACATTCAGACAGATCCTCTGGACAGCATCTCCAAAACAGAAATTTAGGTTTTTTACCTAAACCTACCTTACCTGTAACTAAAGACCCTATAAGATCTGAGTATTTAAGGCAGAGTTGAATGAAGCTAGATAATGAAGTACCAGGAAACTCCAGAGCATGATTCTGAATAACCATTACTCACTTTTAGCAGCTATATAAACCTCATCCTGTTTTGAGGAGTAAATGCTGTTCATCTTTATTCAGATGAATATTTCAAGATTATTTTTGCTGTCCCTTGCCTGACTCTGAAACATGTTTATGCCCTTGTATTACTGTGGTTGTTAAGTGAATGGTTACAAGCATTTGCAGGTCTCTTGGTATTTGAATCTCAGAAGCAACATTACTGGGATTCTTGAAAGTCACCTAAATTTTGAAATTACTACACCTTTAAGAACATTTTCAAAATAAATTTTATTGTTTTTTAGACTCAGAACACATTCATTGGATGATTTATTTAGGACTATATTCTTCTATTCAACAATTTAAGAACAAAAGCCTCCACTGTAGCTCAAATCATTCAAAATATTGGTTTTAGGTTATACATTGTACATATGGAACCTGGCATGTAAAGCAGATGGTATGTAAAATTATGCATAGCATGTCTGGAGAGCCATACAATATCTAAATGCAGCGCAACAGAACAAGGAAAGAATATCATGTGCAACTTAAAATATCAATTACTGGACTATGTCCAGTCTCAGCTGTGCTTTGCTTCCACATGTGTGTGTGTATATTTGTGTGTGTGTGTGTGTGGGTGGGTGTGTGTGTGTGTTCAATTTTCTGTTATGGCAACCAGGATATTTCCTTGGTAAAATGGTCTTCCTTAGAAAAGTATACAGACTGAAATGATAGGCTACCGCATAAACAAAATTAAAAGGTGGATATACAAGAAAAACTAGCTTAGTTATTTTTGGGTGCAGAGTGCAAATGCATGGAAAATAAATAAATAAAAAAATAAAATCAAGAACAGAAATTTCAATCTTTTAAGGCAAATGGCCAGACATCACTTACTACCAGGACTGTGTTTTTCTCTGTTATTTATGCTCTTGGTTTGCCCAACACAGCAATAGCACTTAACAGTACTTCTATCCTGTTGCATAAATACTGTGTTAGATCCACTTCTCCCTGCTCTCTCTGTCTCTCTCTTTCTCTTTCTCTCAAGTATTACAAGTCTGTAAGCACAAAATTTTTCCCTGAACAAACAAGCATTACTGTGCATTGTTAACACAATCAGATGAAATGGTAATTGCAGAAAGATTCACATCAG